GGGCATCAGACTTTCAAACGTTGACCCAAACCCAATAGGATTGAATCCGTGAAGCACACATGGCCAAAAAAAACCTCCAGCCATTGAACCCTTGCAGGTTGGGAGCCAAAGCCTGGTTTCCTTGATGACTCTTCCCAGTCTTGTGGATTCAAAGTCTGTCAAGTTCGACGTTGAAACCCCTGCGAAGGGGTCCACATCCCTTTCAAAGGCTCCAAAGATGGAGGCCGTGAAAGCAACCTGTGTGGCCAAAGGAAAGCTCTATGCGGGAGGGATTCCCTACATGTGAAGAAACCGTGATGTCCGAAAAGTGTTCGTGCACTCGAATATCCACCACCTTGTTTTGTTGCAGGAGTGTGACCAGAGACAGCTACCTGAAATGTGGAGCTGTCGAGGCACCTGGCATGTACATAGTTTCGGCTGCGAAAGGAGCGGCTCGTGGTGCTTCAAAAATCTGGCAGCACACCCGCCGTGGTCGCCGCGCATTTGGGTTCTTTGGTTTCTTTGTTTTCTCCTTTTTTGGACTCCCATGGAATGTCAGCCTGTCAGTTTTCAGAGCGACTTTTTACAGAAATGGCATTTCTAAGGCCATGGTGGGACACCATTGTATAAATCTATGTGTATATAAATTATAAATTATAACTTACAATTTATAAATTATAAATCTATAAATCTATCTATCTACCTATCTGCCTGTCTATGTATCGACCTATCGACTTATCCACCTATCCATCCTTCCATCCATCCATCTAGATATTTTGAGGTGACTGGCCAATATCTATATGATGCTTGCCAAATCGTGCCCGAGGCCAGTGCATCGGAAGTGGACATGTACGATCAGCTGTCCTGCGTCTTGGGCTGTTGCATCAACCAGGTGCCAGCCATGGTTGGGGCGATTTCTCCCAGGGGCACCCTGTCACCACTTGTCACAAGCAATGGTTGGGCACCGCTGAATTTTTTCGGATTTGGGACTGCGGCTGCAGGATGGAAGAAGTGCCAGCATGACGGCTCCCAATGGCCCATCGCAGCAAGCTTGCATCCTGCAATCCATGCGAGAGGCCGATTCCGGTTCTTGAGTGCTCTTGCCATTGCCGCTAGTCACAGTATGTAGGGCCATAGGGAGACCTGATGGATGGCGATTGGGACAGACAGAGGAGGGAGAGAGAGAGAGAGAGAGAGAGGGAGAGAGAGAGAGAGCGAGAGAGAGAGAGAGAGAGAGAGAGAAGAGAGAGAGAGAGATATAAATATAAATATATATATATATAATGATATATATATATGTATATATATATACATACATAATGATATATATATATATAATGATATATATATAATGATATATATATATAATGATATATATATAATGATGTATATATATATATATATTTAAGACAAATAGACAGATAGATATATAGCCAGGGAAACAGGTAGGTATCTAGCTAAATAGATGCATAGGTAGGTAGGTAGGAAGGTAGACGGATAGACAGATAGACAGACAGACAGACAGACAGATAGATACTGTAGATAGATACGGTAGACAGATACGACAGATAGATGAGATCAGTGTGGATTAATTTACATCAACTTAGGTTATATAAATAAGATTAACTTGGATCACTCACCCTTAGCTTAGCTGAACTCTTCGAGAAGGCGATGGAGAAGAAGAGAAGGATCAGCTGATGCTGGATTGGATTTGATTGGTTTGGGTCTGATCAGGTCAGGTTCTTCTGTGGATCGATCGGTCGATGGACACATAGAGATTTGGTTTAGAGATATTTTTAGTAGATGGATTAGACTGGATCACATCACATATGATCAGAAGGCAACCAGGCAGACGGAGATAGATACACAGAAATGCCACTGCAGCCGTTTGAGAACTGAGATTTGCTGCGTTCCAGGCAGGAAATAAGGCTCGAGATATCAATCTGGCAGAATGCCATGGCACAGGCATGGGTGAGATGGGGTCAAGGGGCATTGCACAAATTGGAAATGGACCATGTTCATCCATGTTCGGTAAACGCATCGATTTTTAAACATGTTTCAGGGCCAAAAAGAAAGAACACCAGTTTTACCAACGCCTTCCAATTGTGAGAAACTTGGCAATGGAAAGCCCTGTCAACTGGATCAGGCACAGCCTTGGGCGACCCCATTGAGGTGGGAGCTCTGAAGAATGCTTGGGCCTTGGTGTGATGATGGTGGGTTGGAAATATGGCTGTGTCTGATTTTTTTCGGGGAACCCTGCCAGATTTGATGGTCTAACACGTTGTTTCATTTCGGGCAACCCCCCTGGACACCGTAGCCCAAAAAAACCATGGTTTATCATCATTTTCCCCAATAAACTTGTGGTTGGCGGGGGTAAATCATCCATTTGCAGACGTACCCCATATGAACAGCCGTTGGGATTCACCAAAGACGCTTGCCAAACAACCCTCAAAGGATTATATTCATGAAAACATGTCAGATTGGTCAAGGGTTGGAGTTGCTTAAAACAGGTGAATCATCGAACTACATCATCAAACCATCAAATCTACTGACAGAATGATGTGCTTTCCAGATCCAAGGATCAGTCACGCATAGAATGGGTTAGCGCTTAGCGCAGATAGCCTCGTCCCAACGAGTCAGTGTGATCGACCTCTTGTCTCCATCCGCTGAAGTTGCCGTCGCTGGGGCTCCATGCCTTTTGGAGCCCCAGGGGATATGTAGGTGTTGATGGTGGTGTTTATTTGCCAAGGTCATGGACCCTCGAGACACCACCTTGGCCCTCACAAGCTCAAAGTCAAACATTGGGCATTTAGAGGGCAGTGTGGGGTCCCCAGTGTGTCTGAGATTCGCTGAATTGAGACTTGTGGATCCAACGATATGTTTTAGTCAGGCTGGGATCGCCGGTTTCTTGAAATGTGTGGAAAGCTCAGTGAAGAGTTCTGTTGCTGATAGGAAATGGTCTGTTGCTGATAGGCCATGGGTTCAGCATCTGCGTCAGCTTCAAAGTGCAGTGCTGTTGTGTTTCGTGTATTTTTTCTGCTAGGTGTCGATGCTGATGGCAGGAACATGCCCGCCGAATGCTCATTGCTATCAGCCCGGACGCCTAAAAGTGTGGATTCTTCGAACGGCTGAGGCTTAATAGAGATTATGTTGACAAACCATGGATTATCATGGATTATTATGGTCATGTATCTCAAATTGAGCATCTCGGCCGAGGTTAAATCCTCACCTGCAGGTTGGCGGCTTCCCATGTTTCTTTGATACGGAGGCCGAATTTTTCGTGATCTTTGATGATCTTTGATGATTTGCTGTTCATGTTTCCGAATGATCCTGGGTTGATCGGGGTTTCCGAAGAGAGAAACTTCCCAGGAAGACCACCGGTCAGGTGGTCACACCTTTTGAAAAACCTTAAAAAATCCTTATCACATCTTATCACATGTCACAGCTTATCAAACAATTTTCGCTGCAAGAATCACAGCTTGCCGCTGACAGCTGGCAGCACCTTGGCTCACCGCTCAGCGGCTCAGCGCTCTCCACCATGTCTTCCAAAACTGAGAAGGCTGACGTGGCCAAGGCCGGGGAAGATCTTCAAGCTTACTTGGAGTTTCTTGGTGAATTCAGCGCCCAGGATTAACGGAAATCGGGTTAAAAAAATGGTTTTCCAAGCTGTTAACCATTTTGGATGGGATTTACTTGGAATTTCATGGCTATTCAAGGAATAAAGAGGGAAACTATTTTCTAAACTTTAAACCATGTTGCATGGGCTACTGGAGTTTCAGACAAAACCGCGTTGTGAAGCAAAGCAGCTTTGGGCTGGAGGCCAACAAAAACAAGCTCCCTTGACATCTAGGTACTCGTAGTTGATGAACCGACAAACTTGTATATGCGTAATATGTGTATGTATGTATATAGATTTGACCATAGGCAATGTACAATCTGTCAGTAAATCAACGCAATACATAGACGAAGATGTTACACCCATGCGCACGCACACACTGTATATGCAATACAAATAAATAAATAAATAAATAAATAAATAAATAAATATACATATAGTAATATAACTATAGATAAATACAAATAGAAATACATAGATATTAATACATATAAATACACAATTAATCATAAACAATTATAAACATATATAAACAAATATAAATTCACACATATCAATAGATACAACTATAGATATGAATATTAATATCAATATGAATATATATAACTATAAACATGTAAATATGTGTATATCCATATGTATATGTATAGATCAAAAGAGACTTTTCTCATGGTGAACCATGATTTATGCCAGTGCCATATCCTGAAACTGGCGCGTGCGATTGACGCCCTGCAAAAGCGTTAGTGCTCTAGGTCAAGCAACCTGCCTTTGGTTGCAAAGCCTACCACCAACATGGTTTTTTCTGCCATCGTCCAATGCCACGCTTTAAAAGGCAGCCTTTATGTCTGCTTTTGTGCATGTATGCTGGTCGCATCTGGTCGCGACTTTAATAATATAAATACAATATATATATATAATATTATAAAATATACATACATGTGTGCACCCTTGTTCCTCTCTGTTTTGTATGTGTGCACATTTGTTTTGACAGGGTTGAGGCTGATAGGGCCTGGCAACACATGGAAGGCCCAAGAAACTTTCTCTGAGGCGGAAACATGCAGAGAGCCTCGCCGAGACTGCCTTTTCATGGAATCCCCCCTACATGGATCCCCGCAACGTGACGCTTCGCAGTGCAACTGCTACGACGGATACATTGGATACATCCAAAGAAGGCGGCGAAGGCGGCCTGGAGGACAGTCTCTTGGTTGAGCAGTTATACAATCTTAGGAGTATTCATGCGGGGGTTTCTATAATAGGGTACCCCTAAATCACCCATGTTAATAGGATTTATCCATTATAAACCATCCAGCTATTGGGGTACCTCCATTTTTGGAAACCCCCATGTTCAGATGTCAATGCAAATATATGGGACCAGGATGCTATCCACCTCAACAAGTTCTTCATGGTTTTCCGAGTTCATGAAGTTTCCCTGAAAGCCTTACATCAGCCCAGTTTTACAGTATTTTTTCTCAAGCTTTTCCGACTAAAACATGCTAAAACAGCAAAGCACATATGTTGGTCTCCCTGCCAAACATATTCTGGATAATACGGTCAAGATCGTAAAACATATTAAAACATCATAGTATGTCATAGTTATAGTTTCCCCTCGGAATTATCATATATTATCATTGATGAAAATCATTCTTTTCCCTCGAACATTATTGAAATCGATGGTGTTTCCCCTCTCAAATACGGAATTCATGGTGTCATTAATTCCACTACGGAATTTGCCAAAGAAATCATGGTTTTCCAGCGGCCTTTCCCGGAAGAACTCCTTCTACATAGTCCCCACGGTCGCGTCGCTCAAGGCACGGAGCTTCAACAGTTGGAACTGCCCGAGGAGTCGGGGCCAGTTGCGCGTGCTACGCACCATACTGAGGCATCGATGTCGGTGAATGTGGATTGAAAACCATAAAGCATCCCAGTGAGCAACCATTCGCAAATCAAACCACACACACACACACACGCATATTCATATATATATATATATACACACCTACAATCACAATGGGATGATCATACAGGAATGATGAATGTGGTAAATCTCATGATAAAGCATCCCCAAGGACTTGCCAGAAATGACAGAAATGGGTGGTATAAACCCACATCATCACATCCCATTTTTTTAGGATCAGCCTTAGCTGAACCTTCAGGATGGCGATGGAGAGCGATGATGAATATTTTTTGGGGGGGGTTCATGTTTTTTTTTGTTGTTGTTGTTATTGTTGTTGTGGTCGTGGTCGTGGTCGTCGTCCTCGTCGTTGTCGTTTTACTTCCAGTTGTTTCTTTTATTTTTAAACAAATCATATGGCAGCACAATGGTACGATATCATAGGAACAGTGATGATGATGATGATGATGATGGTGGTGGTGGTGGTGGTGGTGGTGATGGTCGATATGAGACAGTACCCATAGATTTGACTTGACGTTGCCAGCTTCTGCCAGATCGAAGTCAACAGTTGCAGCTCGGAGGAAGTTTGTGGCTTGGCAGCGTGATGATCAGGTCATGATCGAAGCACTATGGGTGTTTCACATGGTTTAACCGAGTTGAACCATGAAATATGAAGGTATGCTGTTTTTTTAGAGGCGATGATGGGGACCATGGGGACCATGGGGACCATGGGGACCATCAAATTCGCCAAGTGATTCGCCGAGGCGCATGTTGGTGGGAGAAAACCAATAAGCGGCCAAAACGCAAGATCAGCCGCGCAGTGACGGGCTTGGCAGTTGGAGCCATCGTCTTCTGAGGGGATGCTGCCACAGGGTGCAACCCAGGGCGCTGCACGCGGCCCATTTGAAGGGCGTAAAATAAAAAATACTTGCGGTGGAACGACAAGATGTTCTCACAGATCGGTTGGGCCAGGCGTTGGCGATCATGAAACGGCTGTGTTTTCTTTGTTCGTGCTGTCTTTACCGCTTGTTGCGATATCATTGCGGATCAAAATGAAATGCCCGGGATATCCCTGGGTCGAAATAAACCTTTCACAATCATAGGATTCCTATCCAACGAACCTGGGCCAAACTCAGTCGTCATGTTCAGCCCAAAGAGCTGGCAATCCGAGTCCGTGTCCAACGATGGGGATTTCTCGGAACGCAAGGTGACCTATCTTGAGATCCTCACGGATTTGCTACGGTTTGGCGGATGTTGCCTGAATGACTTGATCAGGGTGAATGCTCATGAACCACCCTCTAGACTCCTATAGTTCACCGAGTTCACCTAGTGTTACCTAGTTCTTCGTCATCGCGGTCAGCTTTCCGGCCCATCGTTCACTCCATCGTGTTCTTTATGGTCAAGTCTCCGGATCAAACTGGGACATGGCTGTGACAGAAGAAGGGCCTATGGAGTTTTTTTGGGGGGAACTCCTGAGGAGCTTCCCTGGTTCTCGGACTATCGCGTTCGATAGTATGTCGACCATGTGACATTGTGGTGATGATATTGTGTGGAAACACTTAGGCCATGTCAGGAAAGGTTTGCATGGAATCGCAACAGGGGTACGCGAATTGAAATATGCCCCCCCGTAGCTGCTGATGGTCGGCGCCTGACGATTGCATGTCTGGTAACTTCAAACTTGTGGATTTGCTGGAAAACACTGCAGCGCTGGAAGGCCAACATGCCATCTCTCTCTCTCTCTCTCTTTGGCTCCCACTCTCCAAGCCTTTGTCTAATATCTAACATCCAAGATCCATCAAAATATCCGGCATCCAATGTCTGTCCCTATCACCATGTCTGTATGCATATGAAATGTACTATATCCGCAAACCAAACCTTTGATTGAATTCTGACACCCACAGGGAGGTTATGCCATGTTGCACCTACTGAGCAGCTGACGATCCCTCGCGTTGTGCAGGCTGTCGACAGTGGTCTCAACAGCGCTTTAACCGGTTGGACGCCCAGACACCATGGGGCAGAAATGGAAGACACAAAGGTTTGTCCAAAAGTGGGGTACATTGGGGTCTAAGTCATTCCATCCAATGACTTAGAACAAACAATTGTGCCGCTGTGCCCATAAACATTGCAATCTATGGCATTTTTTCTGCTTCAATCACCAATTCTTCTGCTAAACTCCCAAAAAAATTGAATGGACACATGCAAAGGCTTTATGATGCTTTATGCCTAATCTGCTTAATCCACCAGAACGTGGTGAATTCATTGAATTCCCCCTATTTTTGGACTACCTGAGCCATTCAACCCATGTGATGATCGCACCTGAAGGCGTCTCGTCCTTTGGCTTTGGTGGAACCAACGGCCGCTGCGACATCTGGGGTGCTGCCAGGTGGGTGGGTTGATGTGACTTGCTTCCAACTCGCTGTGGGTTGATGCGACTTCTGCCCGACTGATGTGACTTAAACCCTCTGCCAGTATGATTAATCATAATAGTGATAATAGGCATAACAATGATATTGATAGATCACAATTGCAACAATGATATACAATAATAACGTATACGTATAACGTATACAGTATACGCTTCGTGTTGTGATTTAGTAGGTGAACCAGCATGGGCCAAGTCCCATTCTTGAGGCAAGCTCTGCAGCCAGGTTTGGCCCCAATAAGTGCGGCAAAGTTCTTGAGGCGGAAGTGGACCAGATTTATACTTTATGCCCGGAGCCTTGGGGCAATTTATGGCATTTTGGCCGAGAACAATCGCAGATTTCTGATGATAGATGTGTAGGGAAGTACACCATAAAGCGATGTTCTTGAACCTTGTGAGCCGCCCTGATCCAGAGTTCCGGATTGAGGTCCAATCACATTGGGTAAGATCGATTATTTGACTGGCGAACCCTTGTCGCGGCGGCTAGCTGCTTTGCACAGGCCGAGCTTTGGCTTGAAGGCGTTGAATGTGTGTCCTCCTAGCATAGGACCATATCTGACCTGTACAGGGGGAAGAGGAAAGCAGACGTTCTTCGCGATGAACTGGCGCGATATGATGTGTCAAGGCCCGGCCCACTGAGTCCAAAAAAGATCCCTTTCAATGTGACATATAGATACATATAGTATCATATAGTATCATATAGACTAGAATCAAATTATTAATCAAATTGTTGACATTTCTTGATCCATCTTGATCCATAAATTAGCCATCCAATTTCCCCCCCCGACCAGGGACGCCTACGACGGCGGCTTCAGATATCGCCCGAGCTCGGACGTGGCCGATGAGGAACTGCCGTACCTTGGACTGGACTCAGCTGGCACCCAGCTGCCGTTGCCGCTGTGGGATGGTAAGGTCGGACAGCAACATCTACATCTCTGGCTCCTGGAATGGCTTTGCACTGGAGGACTATGGATTTCTATGGATTTCTATGGATTTCTATGGATCTCTGTGATTTTTTTTTGGGGAAAATCATCCCAGAGCAGAGACAACTGGTAATGATATGACATTGCGATGACTTGAATTTGGCCAGGGTTCGTCTGAAATGGGGTATCATGGATGGCAATGTGAATGGAAACAAACGATTCCCCACTGGACTACTCAAATTTTGGGCGCCTTATTTTCAGATAAAGTCCTTAGAACAGGTACAAAGCTGGTGAGATTTCCTTGTAATTCCGTTCGCAAGCCAAAATTTTCTGGCAAAAAAAACCAGTGGTTGCCAGACTTTGGATCCAGAACAATGAACAACACCGTATCCAAAGAAGCTGCAAGGAGATGGATCGTGATGGTGACAACTTGCACCTCAGTGGCAGTTCGCTGTCCCATGCTGTTGCTCTTTTTCTGCTCTTCGTGGCACGGCCAAGGTTCTCTTGCATCATCACCTTGAGCCAAGAAAGGCGGGGGGAAAGAGGTGTTTCGGAATCATGTGGCGCACATGTGACCTCACAGTGGGACTTCACACACATACAGTACTAATCACACACACACACATACCCTAAAACATGCAGCACTAAATGATCGGTTTGGGGGCTGTTTCTTCTAAGGAAGGAGCTCCAGACCCTTGGATGAGAGCCAGAGATTTGGCTGCTCTCAGGTACGAACTCTTTGACATCTGCATTGATCAGAAGGACGAGTTCGAAGCTCAAAAGCCTTCAAACAGCTGGGGCAAAAGGGATTGGCCTGGATAGATTTGTACCCCAAGATTTGATTGTCAGATATCTGATGTCGAATTCCAAGTCTTAACATATTCAACCATTTTGGGAGATTTGTGGCTGGGAATTGATTGCGACTATGGCCCATTTCTGAGTGGGCATATCTGAACATGCTGAAGTCCGCAGATTGGACCCCCGGATGCCAAAAAATGACGAGCCATTTGTGGGCCCATAGGTGCCCAGCATGACTTGACCGACACTCATGTTGTTGAACTCTTTGAGAAGGCGATGGAGAGAGATACCTGTATTTGTTGGTCAAGTATCCCCCAATAGCCCCATGATATTCGCATAACATGGTTCGTTCAATCCCGATTTTGATGAGCTGAATTCCAAACCCTATGGATCGAGGGTTTTAAGCCTCAAATTCATACCCCAAATACTGCATCAGACCGCAATTGGATCCATCTGGAAACTTTATGGTTTGAATCGATATGTTTATTCCCACAATGGATGATGGGAAAAGGTAAAAACCATGGTTTGCCGCAGCTTTCCCTCGAACCAATCCATGAGTTTTAGTCATTAGATTCGGCTATGAATAATGTATATATATAATATGTACATAAATAAATATCGGTTTTTGTTGGTTTCATCCGGATTTCCATTGCCCCAGGTACTGCTTCTTCCCTGCCACCGACCGTGCTGGGCAGCTCATTGCTGTGGAGGGCCCTTCTGTCGGAGACCCCAGCAGACTGTGCGGATGAAATGAACGAAGCATGGGAAGCCTATCAACCAACTACTAGTAAGTGTTTCATGAGGTGGGTAACGGGGTATTTTTGATGGCTCAAGACCTTGGAAACCATTTATATGTGGGAACATCCATTTGCAGGCAATTCTTGTGTCCACCAGGGATCACCAGGGTGCCACACGACAAAAGGGTTTTTGACCAATGCCCTTTAATGGATCTTATGGCAATGGCATGCACTTGAAATAAGCAACTTTCTACCCCAAGTGAGGAATTATTCCCGAGCTAGGAAAACAAAGAGCGACGGAAGTGGATCATCGACGGGCGGGAGGCGCCGTCCATGGCTGCTGGAACTGTTTCTCAGCTGAAAGCGGCGGACGGTGGGGTTCAGTGGTGGCACTTTCTTACAGTTGTGGGGGACCCCAAGTTGGTCAACCACTGTTATGTGACCCCAATTTCCAGAAATACTCATTTGTCACTGAAGGGTGCTGATTCAACAGGCTGTTTGTACGGAAGAATGCGCGCGCCAATATCTTGGATGACACACCAGTGGTCCGCACCTGCATTTTCTTTCAGCTTTGGTGCGAAAATTGCTGGGGGTTCTTTGAGGTATTGCATGCCAACACTGTAGGGTGTTGTACGCACACAAAATCAGATCCATGCAGTGATGGGTATGGGTCCAAATCCAATGCTCAGGGAACTCAGGGAACCACAGATTAAGATATTGTAAGCATATTTCAGCAAAGCATGCCACTTTGGGTCCTGCAGTTTCAACGAACATGTGTCCTCTCGCTCTGATCTGCCTCAGGTCATTGAAATCACGTTCAAGTTCGGCTTGGGCCTGACCGAGCATGTGGTTATGATCAGCTTAGTATCGGACTCCTAGGGGCCCCAACGACTTGAACAATGGCATCCATTTTCCAAGTGGGTGTGTTTAAAATTGGCCACGTCTGAAGTTGTATCCCATTTAAATATATTTCTATATGCAAACAAATTTAATTTGCCATCAAATGGGGCAGCTCCCATTTTGAGATAGGCCCAAGTGGATTCCGAATCGTCCTAGGTCTGGACCGATCAAAAGTCACCTGGAGAGAAGTCAGTGACAAGCCGGGCGCTTTTTGCGCCTGAAGCTGCTTGGTGTCCCCCTTCGAGATGATCCGGCTGCAATTGATTTGGAAGAAACCCACTTTTTGAGTGAATCAGTGAATGATGACCATTGAGCTGGATCACATTTCCAGTGCATTGTCGATGACAGGAGAGATCACTAGCCCGCCCAACGTGCCGTCCTTGCAGTCATTTGGCTCGGGGCTGTTGTAGTTGGACTCATGAAACTTATTGAAAACTTGTTCCGTGCCAAAGTTTCAACAAACTGAACTCATCTGAGCCCTATGAAAAGCCACAGCACGATACCCAGCAGTGCAGCTCCGCTTAAATGCAGAGAAGCTAGTAGAGGAGTCCTTCATGGAACCTGCTTCCAAAACTGCAGGATGTTGAAAGTAGCTTAAGTAGATTTGAGATGATTTGAGTGACTGAAGCTCCAGCTTTGTCCCGGAGCAAAAGCACTTCCATGCCGGCCACACATATCAGTCAAACATAGTCAAACATTGAAGTCAAGTTAGGAGCTGCCATTCAGTTTTGCTGCTGCCATGGGGAGTGCCTAGATTGAATCAGCTTTTTTTCATTGCGCTTTTATATTTACCTTGTCGCACTTGTCACGGCGGTTGGGACCTGCGGAAGCGCAGTTCATTGTTCCAATGTTAAGTGGTGCCACCGTTCGACCTTTTGTCGCTGGTTTCCTGCAACCTAAACGCTAGGAATATCGAAGCCCCTAAACTATCGGTTGACCATTGATTGATGGGAAGATATGCGAAGCAACACCTTGGGAAAGGTACATAAAAATGGCTTTTCTATTGGAGTTCAATAAAAATCCTCCCCGGATTGTCAAGCGGGGTCGTGTTACAACCGTTTCATCATCCCGCATCGGGGTCCCAATAAGCCCCACTTGGGGATATTGCTGTTCCCCCCCCCTCCAAAGGAAAGAGCAGATCGAGCAGTAGCTCTAGAGGGAAGAAACGCAGCCGTAGCCGAGACAAGGAGCGAACTTCAATGTCTGGGTGTGTCTGACAATGGGATACCGGATACCCCCAAAATATCCAAACACGATATTTTCAGTATATAGGGAAAATTAATGATAAACCATTGGGTTCACGGGTATTTTTTTAAGGGAAAAAACATGTCAAGGTCGCGGGGGGTGGGTCTTTCTACATTTTCCTCGGTGCCACCCACTATGTTTTTCATCATTGATGGGAATGGTGGAGTCATGTGCATTCTGATGTGCACTCTGCACGGGACCGAGGCAGGTGCAACCCTTTAAGTCCTGCCTCAGGAGAAAGGAAAGGAGAAGAAAGACAAGGGCAAAAGCAAAAAGAAGGCAATCGTCCACAGCTCCAGCTCGGTGTCGTTGCAGATTTGCTCAACTTCATTCTGCCCCTTAGTGAAGCACTTTTTAAAAGTTCCTTCTTGACTCGATGTTCAGGAGAAGGAGAAGGAAAAGGACAAAGAGAAGGAGAAAAAGAATAAAGACCGAGGGAAGGACAAGGACTCCGAAAAAGAGGAGGACAAGAAGAAGGGAAAAGACAAAGAAAAAGCAAAGGAAAAGGAGAAGGAAAAGGAGAAGGAAAAGGAGAAGGAAAAGGAGAAGGAGAGAGAGAAGGAGAGGGAAAAAGAGAAGGAGAAGGAGAAGGAAAAGGATAAGGACAGGAGTAAGACGAAAGACAAGGACAGAAGAGACAAGGAGAAAGATCGGGACAAAGAAAAAGAAAAAGCCCATGCAAAAGAGAAGGACCGAGACAGACATGCGAAGGAAAAAGAGAAAGAGCGAGACCGAGCACCTTGGTCAAGAGTTCTTTCAAGCAGTTTGAACACAAAAAAATGGAACAGCTGTTACGATCGACAGGGTCCACCTCATACTATCTATATATACTCATACCAGATAGTGCCCGGCACATGCCGGTGCGGAATTCCAGTCTTCCGCGAGTGAAATCCCAGTGCTTCTTTAAATGACAACATGTGATCCATCTTATTATTTTACCATTTGGTGATTTAACATAGCCATGGAAAATGACCATTTTTAACAGGTAAACCGGTAAACCATCTATGTCTATGGGCCATCTATACCATGGCTATGTGAAATAACCAGAGGGTACCTTATTTCATGTCTTGATTTTGGCCGGTGAAGTCGTCGTCTTCCAACTTGTTCCCGAGGACCGCTCGCGGTCGCGCGACCGACGCCGGAGTAGTTCTTCGGAATCAAGTGGCTTGGTCGAGAAGAGACGTGGGCGACAACAATCCAACCATGGGGGATTGACATGGTATTTATATATGGTTTATCAGATCTTTAATCATCAGGAAGGGGGAGTCTAACCAGTATCAAAGGGGCATATCAAACTATAAAAGGGACGATGGCTATCAAATATCATCCCCCTCTTTTATCCACTACCGTAACATGTGACATCTGTAACCCCTTCCAAAAAATCTGGTGAAACGTCATGTTTTTTTTTTTCCATCTTTGGGGTCACCTGGGGGGTGGTTGTTCCATGAACTTTAAGATTCAGATGTTTTTTTGGAGGAAGGGGTGATCCAATTTTTTGCATCGGATCCGCTCCAGGATGGGAAACAACTTCAACATGGGTTCTGTTCGAAATGGTCCTTTTTGGAGATTTTGGTTAACCATCATTAACCATCATTAACCACCATTAACCACCATTAATAACCATTTTTTATTTGACAGTTCCATTGATTTCAGGGCGATGACTGCTGCGCTTCCGCCACCCAGATCCACCCAGGCTCCAGTGAAGATATGGGCCGACGCGTGTGGCCTATAGCAGTCGGCCTTGGGACCAGCAGTTTTCAGCTGCTGCCTCCCTTGTTCAAAGCTCAGCTCGGTGTGGGATGACTTGATCCCGAAAGCAAAGCTAGAATCTTTGGAAGATTCTTTCGTATCCAAATGGCTATCTTATTGGGTTCCATGGTCTTTCATGTCAGCTTTCTTACTTATTGGGTGTGGCTGCTTCCTTCCAGCAGCGTATCTTTGCCCACTCTGCAGGTTGGAGCTCATCGATGTCACCATCGATCCTCCTCCCGAACTCCAGCTGCCAACACCGGCGCCGGTCACTGTGCAGGCCGTGCCAGTGCCAGCAGTGCCAGCGGCAGGATTCACGTCGCTTGAATGCACGCGGCAGGAGATTTGACGTTATTTTGGCATCTTTGTTAACTATTCATTTTTTTATATAAGCATATGCACACACACACACACACTCACACACTCACACACTCACACACACACAAACACATACACACACTCACACACATGCACGCATATGTAGCAACCAACCAGGCAATGGACATGTTTTTCCGATTTGTGGGTGATTTTCCATTGCCATTCTCGCTTGCCACAGGGTACCAGGGCACTCATGGGGTATTATGTAAAACCATACAAAACCCAAAGTGCTTGAAAGAAATATGTCGTCGGCTTCATTCATCTAGTCTATTGTTTTTTTTGTCTATTTGCATGTCTATCTATCTTCGTCAGTGATAGTTTTCGTTGGAGGGATTGGTATTGAAGTATTGACTATTGATGGGCAGGATAGACAAAAGGATGTTTCTGTGTATATATGTACATATAAATATACATTATATATATATATACATAATATATATATATATCATATATGGTATACAGAAAAATATGCACATCTCCAGGACTTGCATAGATCCAGGAGTTTGATTCCAGCAGTGGCTTCGACCTCAGGTCGGGCTTTGCTGACAAGCCGAGGCTGGGAGACTCCGGGAGACATGTCCCGTTTTGACATCGCCATAGGGGTACACTGTACCCCTGGACAACCCTTAGTAGGCACATATTTTGTTCTTCGAAGCACGCAGTTGCGGTAATGCTGCGGCTTGGCATGGCTGAATACATACATATTGTATCATATTGTATATATATATATATAATATAATATATATATATACAGATACATATATACAGATACATATATCCCTCCCTCCCTCCCTCTCTCTCTCTCTCTTCTCTCTCTGTCTCTCTCTCCCGAAGTAATAATCCGCAGTAATGAATGACTCATGTATTTCGCCACGCAGTAATAATCTGCACAAAACAGGGGTATCTTCCCAAGGCCCGGTATGAGCCTGGTCCCCAGCAGTGGCTTCGGTGGCTTCGGAAGAGGGCCCCTGACGGGTCAAGCGCTGGCACAGCAGCAGGGCAAACAGCAGGCGGAGCTGGGAAAGTGATGGCTATGGATATTTTTTTGCTGTGATTTATCACCCAAGAAATGGTGAATGCCACTTCAATAAAGTCATGGGGAGTGGGGTTTAGAACTGGTTTCTTTTTTCATCCTAGGGATATGGGATTTTATGGGAATATCAGAATATACAACTGGTTGGCAGTTTCAAACATTGCTCATGTTGCATCCCATCTGGGATCATGCTTGGTCCCACCCGGGGCGTCTTTCAAACACCAACCAGTAGACTGTTGAGCTCATCGGCTTATTGTTGGCTCACCAAGCAAGCGCAATCATCCAATCTGGCCAAACTTGGCACAGAGTTAGAAGAACTTCACTGCTGCACTGCTTGGCCCATCTTGACCCATCTTGACCCATCTTGACCCATCTTGACCCATCTTGACCCATCTTGACCCATCTTGACCCATCTTGACCCATCTTGACCCTTGCTTCAGGTTTGCTTCAACTACACCGGTGGCAAGTGCTTCAGGGCCGATTGCAAATTCCTGCACTTGGGCCCCGGTCCCAGGTAGCAGTGGCAGCTTGGTGCCGCACTTCGGCTGCATAGACTCCGTGAGACACAAGCGCAGAGACTGGAAGCACATAGACACAGATACAATCTTCATCGAATCAAGGATCATCAAGGTATTTCTCAAACTTGATCTCAAACTGTTTTGAGTTTGACGTCGGTAGCAGAGGCAGCTGGTTGCAGATCTCAAAACCCATGTGGAAATCATCCTTTTTGGCGGTCATGTAGAAATCTTGGTGCAGGGAAGACCTAGCTCTCAAGACTCGCGCTTTGCCCGTGGTTCAAGTTCCCAAGGTTGGCACTTTCTGCTGCCCTGCTGCATGATCTTGCGTGGCCCAACCCACATTGGTTTCACCACAGAGATATGATGCCGGGCATAGCGGTCCGGTAGAGGCTCCGACAGCGGGGATGAGTCATGAAAAGCAGCGCACTGCTTTGTATCACGGCACCCGCTGGCAATGGGGTTTCAGGTATTGTTAGCTGCGACACCCCAATCATTCACAAGACATGCGGCTGATTCAGAAGAGAAACCCACTGAGGCGGCGGGTCCTGGCCCAGCCTCGCCGCACCAGCTACCATGTTCCTGGGATGCACTTGCCGTTGACAGTTGATGTTTTGACCATAGCTGACACGCCCTGGAGTCGTCACTCTCCATGGTGACAGGTTGGGAAGCATGGCCTGCGTTGGGAAGTTGATCGTTATCATTGGTGAGTTCCCACGATGAATTTTTGACGATCCAACACATGGTTCAAGCACCTCAAGACCGGTACGTCAACCGTCTGAGGTGGCTGGAACGTTCACAAAATGGCGAAACACAGCTGTGCTCTGAGACTGGTGGAGTGATGCTATGTTCCCCTGTTCCCCGGTTCCCCTGAGCCATCCTTGGATGGTCCCAAGGCCATGAAGTGCTTGGATGAAAGCAACTTCATGGAGTGGTCCGCCAGCTTCAGGCATTATGGGAGGGCTATGGGTCAGGGCCAAACATCCCCGGAAAAGATTCACTAAGTTGGTCTTTTTGGGGACGTTCAGCTGCCGAGGTTCCAACCCACCACCATAGGCATGGTACTCGTACGATGGTGCTTCCTTTTTGTCACTCGTTTTTGCGACGACAAAGCCATATGCCACTGAGTATGTTGATATTGAAAAAGAGAAACCACATATCATATCATATTATACTGTCCTTCCCTTGCCTGATAAGCAATGCTGGTGAATTATGTTGGGCCTAATATCCTAATGTGCATGTGGCAAGCAGAGCGCCTAATGACCACATACAGTCCTGCCCATGCTTGCACTTGCAGTAAGTCACCCCAACCCAGATACAATATATTCTTAGTTTTCAAGTCCTCGATCGATCAAGGATGGTGATGGTTGTGCTACACATCCCCCTTTTGGCTTGGGTTGTCCATGTTTGACCATGTCTGACCTTGCCCTGGTCCGAGTCTTTTTTCCATCAAAGGTAGCCTGCAATGTGCCGCTTACCATGGCTCAAGCTGTTCTGACCCATGCGCAACCAATTGAGTCCAGTTCATAGCTCACGAAGAATCCTCAGGAAGTGGTGGTCAACCACAAGTGGGGCCATGTCCAATGGCCAATTTTCCAGAGTCTAATTTTTGTGGGCTAACCCCTACTGTAAATATTGTTAGGCAACTCCCATTTCTGTGGGGTAACTCCAGTTCTTGCAATACAATTCTATGAACGACCCAACCGTTTAAACAAACATGATTTTATATGCACATTCGCACAGATACACATGCATACATATGTAATTTATAAAGCACACACACACAGAGACAGGCAAACACACATATACAATATCATAGAATGTACATAAATCAATCATTGTGTGTAAATTTGTATGTTGATAACATGTTATATATCTATTCTTAGGTTGATTGTCAAGGGCTTCTGTTTTATAGGTGGCATATCCTGAAGATGGCCACGGAACGCTTGGTGGAGCTGCTACTGTTTGGCCAGTTCTGTGACGTCACGGTGGTCTGTCGTGATGGGCGGCTGCCGATGTCGCGGCTGGTGCTGGCGGCATTTTCTCCGGCCCTTGGGGGTGCTTTGAAGGCACAGGAGGAGATTGAGCTGCAGGCCGGGGGCGAAGATTTGTAGACTCCAAAGAGATTTGGACCATATCATAAAATGATATAAAAATTAACATGACATGATTTCAAGGACACTTTAGGGTCATGAGTCATAGTGATGTCAGGCTGCCACAAGCAGGAGCTAAGTGGCTTAGTGCCACTGTTTTTTTATCTATGAGATCACCTTGCTAGGTGTCGGTGGCTGCATTTCAGACCCTGTTGGCGAAGAGTTTTGGTGTCGCCGTCCAATCCATCCACTCTCGGAACGGTCAACCGAGCAGTGCAGAGTTGCGAGCAGCCGCTGTTACTCTGGGCTTGCCAGTGATTGCTGACCCAGCTGCTTCGAAGGATGAAAGATATTTGCATATGTCTGAAAATGGGGTATGCTGATATGCTGACAAAATAGGCCTTCAATAGGAAACTGATACACGATTGGACTTGGGGATAACCAATTTTCTCTTCATTTTTTCATTTTTGCTTGCGACGCACGTACCCTTGGGGGTGGTATGATTAAACTGCAAGGTGGAAAATGGTCCCTGTATGTCCCTGTTTACTCAAGGGTTTCGGAGATCACACATCAGCTCCACACCTTTGGGGTCCCAAGAATCTACCACAGGACCACTTCCACCTTCGAGCTCCTGAGCCAAAATCAGGTGCCTTATTGCGCCTGGGAGCTTCTGCCCTGATTGTGTTGGCGGTTTGTGCCTGGCTTCCGGCTTGGCAGTATAAGATCTTCAACAATGGTTTCTTCATGGATGATGCCATGATTGCCCGAAATCCCAATGTGGTGGGAGATTTCAGCTGGTCCCAGCTGCTTCGATCAGATTATTGGGGCTTGGACATGTTTGCAGGCACTTGGACGCACAAATCCTTTCGGCCTTTCACGGTTTTGACCTTTCGCTGGAACTTCTTGTTGCATGGCTTTGAGTCATCTGGCTTTCACATTGCGAACCTGATCCTTCACGGCATTTGCTCCATTCTGCTTGCTGTCTTTGCTGCTCACTGCGGTTTCTCGGGCTGGTGGTCTGCATGGTTGGGTGGACTCTTCCTGGCCCATCCAGTGCATACAGAGAGCGTGTTGTACATCGTGGGCCGGGCGGATCTGATTTCTTTGAGCTTTATCCTGCTGAGTTGTTTGGTTCATTTGAGGGCCTCGCCTCCTAGAAATTTCGGGGCCTTCCTGGCTGCCGTGGTTTCCTGCGTCCTTTTGATTGCAGCTGGGCTGTGCAAGGAGACCGGCTTCTGTTTCTTTGGTCTGCTGGTGGGTTGGGATATCTTATGGCTCACCTGGCAGCCTTCCAACATGCGTCTGTGGATGAGGATGCTGCTTCTGCTGCTTCTCGGCACGCTGTGCTGCGGCCTCCGGTTCTGGTACACTGGGACCACCATCGAAAGGATGGATCCTTTCAGTAATCCGGTGGCAGCTGAGAAGGACCAGCTCGTGAGGATTCTTTCCTATGCTTTGGTGCATGGCATCTATGGCAAACTTTTGGTTTGGCCAAACTTTCTGTGCTATGACTATTCCTTTGACGCAGTGCCCTTGGTGCGGAGCCTCTCCGATTGCCGGCTGCTATTGCCTATTGGCTGCTACCTGGGCTTCTTTGCTCTGATAACATTGTCATCGGGCCTGGCTCAGAGACGCAGGGAACTGCCAATTGTTGGTATGGCCATCTTGATCCTGAGCTTTTTGCCCATGTCCAATATCCTCTTCCCCGTGGGGACCATGATTGGAGAACGCTTGCTGTACATCCCTTCTGCCGGCTTGTTGATCACCGTCCTTGGTCTTGCTCCACCACGAGCCAGTTCCTGGCCTATGTAGTTGTCAGTTTTGTTTAGTTTTCCGAGTATTTCCTCCATGAAAATGGGATGTCGATCTCCCATGACTTTCACATTTCCAATCATTTCCAACAATATACTGTATATGGGTCAAGATCAAAATGGTTGAAGACCACTTTAGTATTGCAGGAGTTTTTGCCAGAGATGTGCACGAAACACTGTAAAGTGATATGCCCCCCCAAAAAGCGATAACCAATAATAGCAACTACTTGTACTGAGATGTAAAGGATCTTGACGGAAGCTCATATATTTCTATAATTTCAAACTCAATATTTTTCAGATGGTTCAACAGCCAGTCACCCAGGTTCGCTGGCATTCCTCCTGGCTGTAGGCCTCATGTTCGCGGCTCTCACCGCTCAGCGCGTGCCCGACTGGTCCAGTCCTGAGACGATTACGGTGGCGGATGCCATGAAGCAGAAACGTTCCACGCGAGTTCAGTATAACTTGGCTACACACCACATGTCCAACAAGCGCCTGCTGGTTGGATTTAGATTTAGATGGTGCTTTCAGTTTTTTTTCAATTAATATGTTTTGGTTTTTCTTTGAACACGCACACGCACACACACACACGCACATATATATATATAATACATATATATATAATACATATATATAATACATACATATATATATAATACATATATATATAATACATATATATATATATAATACACATATATATATAACTAATATGTGTGTGTGTGTGTGTTCCTCCAAACATGGGATGGTTGATGAATGTTGATGATGACAGCGGTTTGGATGACTATATAATATCTTGTGAAGGTCGTATTCGCTAGCCAGGCTATGACGAAGCTCTATCCACCTTTGAAACTGTGATGGCCCTGGATCCTACTGGCAGGGACTGCATGCCGCTGTATCATGCAGGACAAATCCAGATCTACCGAGGAAACAAGACGGCCGCCGAAGAACTTCTGGCGAAAGCAGTAGAGGGACACTTCAGCCCACTTCTGGTGAACGAGGAGGAGGTCTTTCACGACTACGGCTTAGCACTTTGGTTTGCCGAGAAACCAATGGATGCCATTACCAACTTTGAAAAGAGTCTGGCCATCAATGGGACCTTCACGAAGGGTCTGAACAACCTGGGCTGTGCTTTAGGTCTGGGTGCTGTCCTGGGAAAGTTACCTCAGCAGATGATTGTGCCTGGGATTCAGCAGCTACAACAGGCAGTTTCTTTGAGCGGTGACAGCATCCTCTACTGGCGGAATTTAGTGGCTCTGCTGCGCTTTGCCAATCAAGATGAGGCAGCAGCTTCGGCGTACCAACGTCTAGTGGCCCTAGACCCGCACAGTGCACAGGACCCGCCACAAGATTGCAGCTGGGAGTTTTCCTTTCGATGATCTTGGCCGTTGCCTTTGGATTTGAGAGGATGATTTGGATCGATCTGGATGGGGCTGCTTCCTGGTGAACATCTTGGCAGTGGAAGGATCAACAAGATGCTGCTTGGCTACTGCCTGGATGACTCTTGTTGCCACAAGCTCGTCTGCGATCCGGGAATGGGCCTGGAGGGTGGACCAGTGCCAGCCAGCTGTGGGTGAAAAAGGTCTGCTGGGTGCAGGTTCAATGCCGAAAGTATGAATATATATAGAACTTGGTTGGTGGCGTGCCATGAACAGAGGCATTCTACATTCTGCAAACAACCTCATTTTTCGCAGTGTGCTTGCTGCCTTCAGGGATAATGAAATCGAAATGACACATACTTGTGGGGAGAAATTTCCCCACACAACTTCAGGATTTTTTGAGATATTTAGGCATCTCAAAATATCTAAAGACACCTAAAGACACCTAAAGACACCTAAAGACACCTAAAGACACCTAAAGACACCTAAAGACACCTAAAGACAGAACATCGGGGTGCCTCCTGTGAAAGTCCCAAAATTCTTGAGCCCATCTCCAGCTGTCAGGATCGGCCAAAGAGGTAGGGAAGAATTCCAGATCTTGAAGGATGGAGACAGGCTCCAGGCAGACTCCCATGCGATGCACTCCAGAATACTCCAGATGCCAGCAGTGATGATGGGTTAGGCCATGTTTGTCTTGGGAAGTAGAACTCAGTTCAACCGTAAGTGTAATCATTTTTTTGTCAACTGTAATCAACTGTACCATTCTTGTTCTGTTTGGTATTTCCTGATTTAAGATCAGCCAGACCAGAGTAGCTCCCTGTGACTATGGCAGGCCATCTATCCGACCTTTCCCCATGCCATGGGCGCGGGTGAAGAGGTGGGGATCAAGGGGGACAAAGCCGAGGAGCATGTGGGCAATAGAAAATCACCCACCTGGGTCCTGGGTTTGCACATGACCTGGGAACGTCATGAAATGTCCAGACTTACAATGGTTTACATGCCATTTCTGGACAAACCTTCAGCATCTTTTATCATTTTTTTAACCCAGCCATCCAGTGCCCATTGAGTACGCAGGCATGCGGTCCCGATGAGTACGGCAGCGGCCGGAATTTCCAAGTCAAAGGGACGCCTGGTGAGGAGGTCAGGTGGAGGGGTTGATGTTCGTCTTAGATAAAATCCAATGCCAATGCAGTATGAAAGCTTAGAGAGAATAGATAGATAATGATAGATATAGATAGTATGAGAATGACATAGAATGACTGATGACTGATAATGTAGTATGATGGACATTGACAAGTCTGAAGTGCAAAATTATATATATATATATATTATACATCATCCATTCTACATTTTATTAAGATACCTTAATATATAAACAAACACATATTAAAACATATCAAATCAATCTATTCAATCTATATAGATTATTGAGTTATCAAACATGGCACCTTCCTTACTACCTGGGATGGATGAGGATGCCATCCGCTGATCCGGCAGGTGGAGCTTACTTTGTTCGTGGAGGATGGCAAGGCCGCGACTTGGTCATCCCTTGGTACATCCTTTGGAGGATGGCAACCGCGGACTTTTTTCGGGCACACAGTGCGTACACACATGCACACACACATACATATATATTAATATATATATATATATATACTGGTATACACTAAATCTGCATATGAGAGATATAAGCTCTAAATGCTAAAAAAAGATCTTTTAAGGAACTTTGAAATGCGAAGGCCATAAATACTTGGGCAGGCATCTATTTTGGATTTTGTTAGAAGGCGGCGTCCTGTGTATACGCAGTGAAATCGCTTTCCTGCAGCTTAGCGCCAGATTTGCGCTAGTGTAGCGCTAGATACTTTTACATAGCCATTCAAGTGAAACATAGTCAGGCCCGATGCTTTCTTTCCCTCTTGCTCGCACCTGTTGTTCCCAGTCCTGCTTGGGCAACTCCACAGTAGCCATCTAATTTATCTATCCGATTCCAATCTAATTTAATCACTGATCAAATCTAATAGAATCTAATCAAACCTCATAAAATCTAATTAATTAATCAAACCCACGTATCCACAACTGTATATTTGCAACATGTTTATCAATACATAAAAACAATATGAGTATGCCTGACTATGAGTATGCCTGACTTTCCCATTGAGTGTCATATGGTGTCATGAAAAAGCCTACATCCCCACCGTTGCCTGTGGCCGTAGAGACTCGTAGAGAGGTAACGGTGCGGGCCTATATGGCGACCTCAAGGCGGTCCAGGCTGGGATTGGTTGGCTTCATTTTCTGATTCCGTTGGCTGGCATGATTAAAACTTTAAAACAACTGTGGCCCTCATGTTTGTCATGGGTGTTGAAACCACCATGGGTGTTGAAACCACCAAGAAGGATGATTTGGCCATGTCCCAGGCAGTGGGACAGCAATCGAGGATGGGTTGGGCCCTGAGAACTGAAACATGAGATGTGGCGGAAGTTCTACAGCATGCCGAATGTCGAAAATTTGTTCGGTCGAAAACGCATATATGAACACACACATATATATATATATATACATACATACACACACATATATATATGCATATGCATATGCAGCACATGCATGTAGGTGGATGGATGGATCGATAGATAGATAGATAGATAGCAAGAAATAAGATAGACAGATACTGGTACACAGACAGACAGAGAGACAGATATACAGATAGACAGATGGACAGATGGACAGATAGACAGATAGACAGATAGACAGACAGATAGACAGATAGACAGACAGATAGACAGAAAGACAGACATATAGACGGATAGACCGATAGACAGATAGACAGACGGACGGATAGATAGATAGATTGATCGATAGATAGATAGATAAATAGATAGACAGATAGATAGATAGACAGACAGACAGATACATTCATATATACATTCATGCATGCATGCATGCATGCATTCATAGATACATAGATAATCATAGATAATCATAGATAATCATAGGTACATAGATACATAGATACATAGATACATAGGTACATAGATGCATACAGACACACAGACAGATACATACAGATACATACATAGATGCATGGATAGGATGATATATCTTGTTTTTTTCTCCAAACCTTACTGTGACCTGGATGACTAAAATGGGAGGATTAATGCTTGTTGCTGTTTGGATCTTGCCAAGCGGATCACTGTGGCTATCTGTGGCTCCAAGTCTTAGGCACGACATACCTATGCAGTCATACAGGATGAAGGAGGACGTTACACATTGGTGTGTCTCCACCCTGCCATTTGAACGATCGAACTGATCGAACTTCATTCTTTTGCGGAGTATGCGGGGTGGCAGTGTTGACATATGTTGACATGTTGGCGTAGGACAAACACTTCCGATGACGTCGCGTACTCAGAAACAAGTGTCGAACATCATATTTCAGACAGCAGAAGGCGAGGAGGCTTGCTACAAGTTATAGGCCGTCCTATGAACTCTCCAACTAAGCTTGCAGCTTTAGGATGTTTTGTAATGAGTTAGAAGTTATGTATAGTGATGTAAGATCTGCACAATCTTGCATGAAGCAAGTCATTGGCCCTCTTGTAGCAACATTTGTCTCTCTTGAATGAGCAACTTCTCATATCTTTTCATCATTTCTGCTGGGGCTGGAGCTACAGGATGAATTTGCGCCGTCCGGGTGTTTTCACTTGCACTGTCGTGGTGGGCAAGGCTGGGACGGTTTCAGGGTAGCTTGCAACATCTTGCAACAAGTGCACAAAGTGCAGGTGCGAAATGGGTGTATCTGAAAATGGGATACCCTATATTAAACCAACGTAGATCACAATTTTCCGTATGGACACGATTATTTGCAGATTAATCCTCCATTTCCAGACACACCCAAATCGTTGAACCACTTTTGGGCGCAAACTGGGAAGCAGGATTTCGACAAGCAAGCTGGTGCCTACTTCCTCAACTTCCAGGTGGGAAAGGTTGACTGACATTTTATGTGATGCATCCTTGCACGTGTAATAGGGCTTGTAACCCCATTTGCAGCCGCCAGGTTATGTCAAGAAGTTGGATTAACCTCCCCAAAGGTCTAGAGATAGTCGGCATGCCGACGGCATGCTGCGCTGAGGTGGCCATTGATGGTGACAGTCGATGGGCCCATAGCTCAGACGCTGCGATGGTGAGATGTTTGATGGGTGAATCATCTATCGGAAAGAAATGAGCCATTGTCAGTTGGTAATTTCATGTAATTTCACATATTTCAATGGAAAATCACCCACTTCTATTTTCATAGGTGAGGGCATTTTCATGCCAGTGAAGCAAAGCAGACGGGCCAATCTTCACAATGACACTGCGCTGCTTTTGGTAGTTTGAACATGTTGGTAGAGATGCCGAAAATCAGGCCCACCACGACATTTGTACACATTTGTTATTTCGCTTTGATGGTAACAACTACCAGTACCTGATATCTTATACATATATAATCATATATATATATATCTCTCTCTCTCTCTTTTGAGTAGCCAAATGTTGATCCATAGCCATATTGGAGCACCGCAGCTATGGCACAGGTTTTCTACCCCATGCAAGCTGGAGGGCTATCTGGCGAGGCCTTGGCACACTTTGAATCCATCAGCGAGTTGAAGTATATGTCTACGTGTCAGTGATCATACATGGCATATTAATGCAAACGGGCCACGGGTGAATTCGGATCCTTTGGCCACTTAGGATATGTGCCAATCAGCTATTAGTTTAGGACATGGGGCGAGCTTGCAAACGGGTATATATATATATATGTGAATCTGTTTTGATGTCTATTTGTCTATCTATTGATCAATGGATCGATCTATCGATAGTGACCTCTGTATATCTATAAATATATCTATGTCTATGGCGTAGATCTAAAGTCTATATCTACAGCCATCTACAGCCGGCCTATTTCTATAGCATCTATAGCCTGTATCTATAGCCTTTTTCATAGTCTATATCTATAGTCTGTATAGTCTATAGTTGGTATAGTCTATAGTTGGTGGATGGATTGATAGATCAATAGATCAACCGACTAATAGATAAACCATGGAGCCCCCATCAGCTGCGAGCTAGCCCCATTCACACTCAGGTACCATCCTATTTGCGCATGCAGATATACATCAGATATACATACATGCATGTGTATATAATATATATATACTCAATGTATATATATTTATTCATGTATTTATTTATCCATTCATTTATTTTGAAATATATTTATGCACATATTAGATAAATTATAATATTTACTAGGGTCATCAACCGGCCGCACAGAAGGCCACAAAACATGGAGAGTAACGGACCCGCGGTGAGGGCGCCCTGCGCAGGTCATTGTGAACCGACCGCCGCTTCATGGCAACGGCAACTCGGCCACGAGGAAACCAATGCTGGGGGTTGATGGAACCAAGGTGATGCCCGATGTCAGCCATGAACCACTGTAAATCATTGTAAATCTACATCTATTTACCATAAACATCCATAAACCACAGAAAAAACCTACCAGTAGTTACAAGAAGTTACACACTTCGCTAAGTTGCTAAGTTACTGGGCATCACCAACAGTGTCTCTGGGTGGGACCAGGTTCCGATGTGCCCTTCTCCATCTACAGCCCTTCACCGGAGAGGCCTGCCTCGCTCTGGATTTTTGATGCATTTCTTAGGTGAACAATTGTATACAGGAAACGCGTGGAAACGTTGATGTTAGGTTTACCAAAATCAATGCTTTCCTGTAGAAATATTCTTTTGAATCAACCCCGGCACGTGCGAGATCCTGGATCACAGGACTTTCCAAATCACCTTGGACCTTACAGCAGAGGACGGCGCTAACATCGGGCATCCCCAAGGAATGGATCGCAAAAATCAAGTGGATCGAAGAGTCCACCATTTTGACCCCAGCCATTTGTTGCAAGTGGTTGGAATATGTTTGAATCACACTCTGTCACTCCCAAACATCTCTACATATGGTGACACAGGACCGACGAAATACAGTGACTTGGAGGGCGATGTGACTTCAAGAACTCCAGTGTACATATGGGCGATAGGATGTTGTGATATGTTGTGATCGTTTTCTTCCTAGTTGTTGATTTGTAGTTGATTCTGTCTCATAGATTGCGCGCCTGAATATGGTGTCGGTGCCAGTGCAGTCCTGCTATGCAGCGTAAGGCACAAAATTCTTGCTGGGGGGGGATGGTGCTGTTTGGCTTTTGAACCATTTCCGTGACCAGTGTACAGCTGAACGAAGCATCGTTTATGCCTGGTTTATGCCTGGTTTATGGGAGGCTTGTCGCAGTCATGTAGGCTTAACAGAACCAAGACAAGACGTGAAGTGGAAGCATTTGTAACCGACATCTTGCAGTCAAAGTGACTCATTGAAAGCTTGGCAGTCTGGGATACTTCAGGCTCTCCGGGTTTTTGGAATCGGAGTGGGACGAGTGACTGGGAGTGACTGGGATGTGAAACAACTGAAACAACTGTTAAAGAATTGTTTTGTAGCACAAGTATTGTGCGTAGGAACATGAGAAGACTCGATGCCGAATGCCGAAGGTGTGAGGCTCGAGAAATTTCAAAGGAATCTGATAGATTGGGGGTCCCGCCGTGGTGGTGTGACCGCACCCGGTACCCAGATGAACCAGCTCGGATTGCGAGGGAGATCATGCAGGGCGTCATCCATCTTAAACCACTCCAACACGATCCTAGTTGAGGACTTGGAGGACCCTGTGGTCCTGATTGTCGCTAGCTCAGCCTACCTGAGGTGCCCGCATGTAGCTCCCATCCAGAAAACACAAGGAATCTGATAGATTTGGGGTCCTGCCATGGTGGTGTGCCCACGCCCGGCTCCAAGCCGAACCAGATCTCGGCCTACGAGGGAGAGCACGCAGAGCGCCTTCCATCATCAACGTCAACACGATCCCACTCGAGGGGGTGGAGGACCCCATAGTCCCTAGTCGCTAGCTCAGACGACCAGAGGCGCCAGACGCGGAGCTCCCATCCGGATCAGAGAACCTAAGGAATCTGATAGATTGGGGGTCCAGATCACGCAGGGCGTTTTTTCAGAGTGCCCAGCACACACACACACATATATATATATATACATACATGTACCGAGGACACTTCGTGCCCTCATTCCCTTCGGGAGCTAGTTGCACAGCTGTGACAGGATAGCCCGCTGAAATCCCACATGCCTGGGCGCGAGCTGCCGAGTTAGGAGCTCACGCCCCCAACGGATTCTATGCACGACTAAGAATCTTCTGAAGGTTTCTCACCGCCTCTGGACCGCGGAAGCTGGGAGCTTACGTCCAACATGTCTTCGTTTCACTGAGGTTTCATTTTGGGGATCGTCCGTTGACTGGCATCAGGGCACAAGCACTGAAGGAAACCTTCTGGACACATTTCCATACTGATACATTTGAATCCGCTATGCCCACACCAGTATCATCGGCACACACCTATCCAAACAGGAATCCTGACGCTAGGCACCCAGGCCCTTCGTAACTGTCGTGTGAACCTCAGTTGCAACATCCGACCCGACACTAAGGCTTCGCCAGACGGTGATTCGGATCACAGTTTATCCAGAACCCAGGGTCGATGTTTCCAGAGAGGGTTTGTCATCACTGTCTAATTTTGACTGCGGGTGCGTTTGCACATGCGGTGTTTCGTTTCCTTCATTCTTTCTTTGGGTCACATGTCGGCGGGGGGGGCTCCCCGTCCTCTCATTTTGTTTCATTTATTCTACCCGTCTTACCGTATCCGACGAGACAGCCGGCCTGCCTAGGCTGAGCTCCAGTCGTAGCCTTAGACATCAACCAACCAGATCGACACGCACCGACACCATTGAGCAGAAAGCCGACTCGAGCATTCACTGCCCTGGTCAGGAAACACTTTGTTTTGTTCAAGCTGCGAGCAGCAGCCGGGCCAATCAGCCCTCGATGTGGGCAGACATGTGAATGTGCGCGGTGCACGTCGCCCTTTCTGCACAGCCAGCTCGCGCAGAGCAGGCAGAGAGGCACGATCAGTGCTTCGACCCGTGCCTTCGTAGCATTCTCATGTGGTAGTTAGGGGAGTCTCTGTCATTTGGACGGTCCAGGTGGACAGGGGCACGCGTGTAGCGATTGATCCCGATCCAAACAGGACGTCCACGCACATGTTGTGAGCGAACAAATGCGGCGCATTAACCACCTTCACAGCGTCAACCGTTGTGACGAATGTGACGGTCCGTAAGACTCAAGTTTCCTTTTCTGACAGATAGATCTCTGTGATAGGGGATATATTACCTAGGACCGTTTCCACCATTGCTGTTTGACCTCACCATGTCACACATATCAGCCATTCACTGTTTCAGGCATGCCAATATTGCACACATCTGTGCTCACATCGGCTCAACGCACTGCGCCACCAGCAGAGGCGGCCGCAGCACGCTAGCGGTCGCTGAACCAAGTGGGGGAGATGGCTCAATTCAAACATGTCGTCGAGGCGGCCAAGGCATCTGGAGCGGCAGAGTGGCTGCCACTTGTGGTGGAGAAAGACCTGACAGACCCACCCACACTCCTTCAACATCCCTCAGTGGTTTGGAGACTGGCATGCCGCCCGAGGTCTGGCGCGTCTTCCAGGACAGTCTCCAACAGCAGGATGGCGCAACGCCACAAAACGCCATCACAGCTAGGGACAGCGGGGCTGTCTCACACAGAGGAGCCGCACCCATTGCACCACCTCGAGACCTGGTTGCGTTTCTGACAGCCATTCACGGACCACAGAAGGGGAGAGTGGCCAGCCAAGTGGACACTTGCGACATCTCCGCTGTGGACACGACCAACATCCAGTCATGGACGCGTGATCGCCGCGCCACATACTACATGATTGTAGTGGGCAGCCAGTTTCTCACGACCACCGATGAACTGTGCGCCACTTCTCGGTCACACATACAGCTCAATGGCTCTCGGAACGTAGTGACCTGGACACTCCCCACTGGACCGCCGGAGACACAGGCAACCACCGTTGACGTGTCCTTGTGGTGCAGATGCCCAATCATGGGACAGCGGCTGTGCCCTTACCACAACATGGTGGAGCTGCTGAACCTCACAGATTCGAAAGGAGAGACAGATCGGCCATTCGTCCACATGACCCCGCCGACCTCCTCAAGAACATCGCCCACATGCTGGAGAGTTCCAGGACCTCAGAGCAGCCAGTCCAGACGGCGCCACCTTCAGGTTGTCTCCGCGCCGCAGGCGCACGTTTCTTGAGACGACTAGGTCTCAGCCCAACACTCATCACACAACTTGCTCGTTGGGACAGTGACACGATCTTGGGCGCCTTAGATTGCAGCCAGCTTAGCACCGATGTCATCCAGCAGAGGACTGGCGACTCTCCGGGTGACAGCGATGCAGAGATAGAGGCCTTGAAAGCCGGCATCCAGGCTGATATCTTGTCACTGGCACACCATTGCCATCAAATGATCCGAGAGACCACAGCCCTCAACCAGGCCTGGTTGGCAACCGCAGAAGAGAAGCCGTAGCGACCTTGAGCACCTGGAAAGTCAGATCCACACAGAGCGCGAGACCGCGACAAGTCAAAAAAAGGGGAACCGCGCCAAGTCGGTGACACCTATAGGAATTTTATTTGTTTCTGCACTAACGCCCAGATCTTTTAGAACTCACACGGTTGCTCTTGAGTGCAAGAGCCCGGGTGGTTAGAGCTGGGCTACTCAGCATGCAGATCATGCATCATTTGGCCAGACCCTCACTGCATGTTCGATGTGAGTCCGAAGCTGATCAGCCATCAGTTTGGTTTTGTTTCCTTTCTGCTGCAGGTTGCCAGTTGGATTCCGACCGAATCTGCTGCTGCATCACATGTTCTGCTACACACTTTAGTTATGTTTGTGCACACCTGAGACACCCTGTCACTGTTTCTTTTGGTTAGGGTGCCGCCCTCACGCGACAGGGCAAAATTCTTTTTGCATCACAGAGGCCAGGTTTGTTGTGTGTTTTAAACATAACCGGCTCCCCCAGCCGAGCTAGGTGGGGGACGCCGTGCTAGTCAATTTTCCCTGACGGCAAGTGACCGTGTCTGTCACTCAATGTCCAGCGACGCACGCCCAGCGTCTGGCTCAGAAACACTAAGTTGTCCCTGCCGGACACTGTGGTGAGCCATGCCACCCGTCAGCCCTGAACTCCAGAAGCTGGCTGCTGAGGCTGGTGTGGATCACTCCGTGGTGCAGTACTTGCAGGCGCGAGGCATCTTGTCAATGGGGATCCTGGGGGCCCTGGCCAAATCCTTCGATGAGATTGATGCAGCAGTGGTCAAGCCGTTCATCGCCGGCCACGAGATAGCCGGTGTGACACACCAGGCTGCACCTGACACAGAACCCGTGGTGACCGCATCAATCAGGTATCTATGGAAGAAGCGCTGGACGCAGCTCAACACCGTCCAACTTGTCAAGACCACGCCCATCATAGTGGGCCAAGCCCCATCGGCTGCCACAGCGCCCATGGAAATCCCAGCTGAAGAACTTCAAGAACTCGTTCAGCATTATGAGAACCAGATGATTGACGGAGAGAAGCGCTATACTTCCCCATCAAGATGCTGCTCGGCGCAGAAAAAGTGATCGCCAGGGCATGGCACGAGAATCGCACAGCCTCACAGACCCCCTTGCTGCTCCCAGAAATCCTAGTCCTGCGTCATTTCGACGCATCAGGCGGCACCAATTCGCTCGCAATCTCCTCGACAGAAGATCAGCAGAAATGGTCGCCCAAGGGCGTCCTCAGCCTCCTCGATGCCTTGGATGCAGTCATGTGGTGCTGGCTCCTGATCCGCATCGGGAAAGAGCCACACATTCTGGAATACATCCAGTGGTGGCGCCAATTGGTACGCGGCAAGTCCGCCAAGCTGGAACAGATCAAAAGTTACTGGGTGGACTGCGGATGGAAACTCGCCCTCGAGCCTCGCCAAGGCCGCAACTTCCGCGAGATCACCCAGGAACTGATGCTGGACCAACACGGGCTCCAGACAGCGCTGC